AGGGAACTTCCTGGAGTGGCCATATATCAATGATAGGGAACTTCCTGAAGTGGCCGTATATCAATGATAGGGAACTTCCTGGAGTGGCCATATATCAATGATAGGGAACCTCCTGAAGTGGCTGTATATCAATGATAGGGAACTTCCTGAAGTGGCCATATATGAAAAATAGGGAATTTCCTTGAGTGGCCATATATCAATCATAGGGAGCTTCTTGAAGTGGGCGTATATGAATGCTAGGGAACTGCCTGAAGTGGTCATAAATCAATGATAGGGAACTTCCTGAAGTGGCCGTATATGAATGATAGGGAACTTCCTGGAGAGGCCGTATATCAATGATAGGGAACTTCCTGAAGTGGCTGTATATCAGTGATAGGGAACTTCCTGAAGTGGCCGTATCTCAAGGATAGGGAATTTCCTTGAGTGGCCATATATTAATGATAGGGAACTTCCTAAAGTGGACGTATATCAATGATAGGGAACTTCTTGGAGTGGCTGTATATCAATGATAGGGAACTTCCTGAAGTGGCCGTATATCAATGATAGGGAACTTCCTGGACTGGTCATATATCAATGATAGGGAACTTCCTGAAGTGGCTGGAACTTGCCGGTGTGGCCCATATATCAATGATAGGGAACTTCCTGGAGTGGCCATATATTAATGATAAGGAACTTCCTGGAGTGGCCATCTATCAGTGATAGGGAACTTCCTGGACGGCCATATATCAACGCGAGGGAACTTCCTGGAGTGGCCATATATCAGTGATAGGGAACTTCCTGGAGCAGCCATTTATTATTTGTTGGGAGCTTTCTGATGTGCCCAAATATCACTGCTTGGGAGCCATCTGCGGTGCCTATTTATCTTTGCTCTGAAGCTATCTGGAGTGACCATGTGTCACTGGAAGAGTGCTACCTGGACAGCACATATATAATTGGTAGGGAGCAATCTGGAGCGGCCATTTATCATTGCAGGGTCCCATCAGAGTGCCAATGTCTAATTGGTGGGGTGCTTCAGGGAGTGCCAATGTATCAGATGTAGAGTTGCGTCTGGAGGCCCTATGTATCAGATGTAGAGGTGTGTCAGGAGTGTCCATGTATCAGATGTAGAGGTGTGTCAGGAGTGTTCATGTATCAGATGTAGAGGTGTGTCTGGAGTGTCCATGTATCAGATGTCGAGGTGCGTCAGGAGTGTCCATGTATCAGATGTAGAGGTGTGTCAGGAGTGTCCATGTATCAGATGTTGAGGTGCGTCGGGAGTGTCCATGTATTAGATGTAGAGGTGTGTCAGGAGTGTCCATGTATCAGATGTAGAGGTGCGTCAGGAGTGTCCATGTATCAGATGTAGAGGTGTGTCTGGAGTTTCCATGTATCAGATGTAGAGGTGTGTCTGGAGTGTCCATGTATCAGATGTAGAGGTGTGTCTGGAGCGTCCATGTATCAGATGTAGAGGTGTGTCTGGAGCGTCCATGTATCAGATGTAGAGGTGTGTCTGGAGCGTCCATGTATCAGATGTAGTGGTGTGTCTGGAGCGTCCATGTATCAGATGTAGAAGTGCGTCAGGAGTGTCCATGTATCAGATGTAGAGGTGTGTCAGGAGTGTCCATGTATCAGATGTAGAGGTGTGTCAGGAGGGTCCATGTATCAGATGTAGAGGTGTGTCAGGAGTGTCCATGTATCAGATGTAGAGGTGTGTCTGGAGTGTCCATGTATCAGATGTAGAGGTGTGTCTGGAGTGTCCATGTATCAGATGTAGAGGTGTGTCTGGAGTGTCCATGTATCAGATGTAGAGGTGTGTCAGGAGTGTCCATGTATCAGATGTAGAGGTGTGTCTGGAGTGTCCATGTATCAGATGTAGAGGTGTGTCAGGAGTGTCCATGTATCAGATGTAGAGGTGCGTCAGGAGTGTCCATGTATCAGATGTAGAGGTGTGTCTGGAGTGTCCATGTATCAGATGTAGAGGTGTGTCAGGAGTGTCCATGTATCAGATGTAGAGGTGCGTCAGGAGTGTCCATGTATCAGATGTAGAGGTGTGTTTGGAGTTTCCATGTATCAGATGTCGAGGTGTGTCTGGAGTGTCCATGTATCAGATGTAGAGGTGTGTCTGGAGTGTCCATGTATCAGATGTAGAGGTGTGTCTGGAGTGTCCATGTATCAGATGTAGAGGTGTGTCAGGAGTGTCCATGTATAAGATGTAGAGGTGTGTCAGGAGGGTCCATGTATCAGATGTAGAGGTGTGTCAGGAGTGTTCATGTATCAGATGTAGAGGTGCGTCAGGAGTTTCCATGTATCAGATGTAGAGGTGTGTCAGGAGTGTCCATGTATCAGATGTAGAGGTGTGTCAGGAGTGTTCATGTATCAGATGTAGAGGGGCGTCAGGAGTGTCCATGTATCAGATGTAGAGGTGTGTCTGGAGTGTCTATGTATCAGATGTAGAGGTGTGTCCGGAGTGTGTTTGTTTATTTGTTTGTTCATTTGTTATTTAACAAGTGTGCTTGTATCAGATGTAGATATTGGTCAGTTGGCAGTGGTTGCTATTCCAAGACAGTGAAATAAGACAAGAAATAAATAGTGCTTCAGCCAGGCAGCACACCTGCACCATTCATGCAAATGCATGGATACTGGTGCTAAAAATGTACACAAATGCATGGATACTGGTGCTAAAAATGTACACAAATGCATGGATACTGGTGCTAAAAATGTACACAAATGCATGGATACTGGTGCTAAAAATGTACACAAATGCATGGATACTGGTGCTAAAAATGTACACAAATGCATGGATACTGGTGCTAAAAATGTACACAAATGCATGGATACTGGTGCTAAAAATGTACACAAATGCATGGATACTGGTGCTAAAAATGTACACAAATGCATGGATACTGGTGCTAAAAATGTACACAAATGCATGGATACTGATGCTAAAAATGTACACAAATGCATGGATACTGGTGCTATAAATGTACACAAATGCATGGATACTGGTGCTAAAAATGTACACAAATGCATGGATACTGATGCTAAAAATGTACACAAATGCATGGATACTGGGGCTAAAAATGTACACAAATGCATGGATACTGGTGCTATAAATGTACACAAATGCATGGATACTGGTGCTAAAAATGTACACAAATGCATGGATACTGGTGCTAAAAATGTTCACAAATGCATGGATACTGGTGCTAAAAATGTACACAAATGCATGTACAATGGCATACACCTGTTTATAGTGTAACACTGTGAAATAATTAATGTTCATAGGACAATAAATCTTTGTTTCTCTCTGTTCTATTTGACCTTTTTACAAGTTTCTGATGATTAAATATTTTGTTGATTCTCATAACCTTTAGAAAATATTTACAATCAAGACATAGTTTAAACCAAGGTTTTTTTCCTTGTATATGGAAATGAAATACATATTTTGATGCTTGTTTCTACCGTAGAACTTGATGTTTATTATATCCAGTCCCCAAGGAGGAGGGACCAAGTTGAATGTTTATTGTTCACGTGTTGTCTTCTTCATAATATGTACACATGTGCTGGACGTCAGCAGAAAGTTAACTTAGCAGGACTTATATTAAGAAAACGTTACGAGAGCTTTTATAAATAGACATCTATTGATTGATGCTATAGTTTTTCAATTGATGACTTTATCTATGATGTCATCAACTTCCCTTACTTTGTTTTAAGGACCAAATATATACCGGTAAGTTTGGCTTAATGCCAAACAATACAGGTATTTTATGAGTATTTTGATGTCCTTGTGTGTAGCTTAATTCAGAGTTTATGTTGTAAAGTCAATAGTGAGCATCTGTGAGGAGTGCCTGTTAAGACTGGTGCTAATGGTTGGCTTCACAGCACACCTGACACAGTCATTGCTGTTAACGACCCGGCTGGGGACAGGTGCAACTGCCTTCAAACTTCCCACAGACCTTCACTTGGTACATCCTCACAACACTCCTGGCTAGGTCTGTGTGGTCAGCATGGTCAGATATATACATAGTTCATAATTATGTTAATTTCATTATTTAACAGACATATTTGTTGTCGACATATCAGTGCTTATAAGTTAACCGTTATATCTAGGTACTGAATTATTCATGGGTTGTTTCTCAGCCACCAACCCACCCACCCTTCCCCTCTTATTTATAATTAAGTTCTTAAACATTGGTTATATGATCTAATAATCATCATAGTGTCCAAGGCCATTGCTGATTTAAGATTTGTTGTCTTTACTGAGTATTTGATGCCCAAAAATGTCAAGTGTTAAATTCTGGGCTTGGAAATACTGAATAAAAAACAAATCTGAAAGAGAACATTGTGAAAAACAAAAGCTATTAGTCATTTGCTGAAGCACTCTCCCTCCATCTCTCTTTGCTGCTGTGAGTTGACTCCCAAGTTGAAATGCAAAGACTACCCCAGAAATCAGTACAAAATGAACATCATGTCCAGAAGACTTTCAGATTTCAAACCATGTAACAACACTGTTCAACTAATCAGATTACAGTACACAGTCCCATTCTTTGTACAGTTAAGCATCATAATGTTGTTACATGTATACAGCAAAGTGATTACCATTTTAGTAATTTGTTGAAAAGTACAAGCAGCTTTGTTTGGAAGGTCATCACAGCATACTCTTCAATCTGGACATTTCCATCTGTCCAGTACTCCATCAGCAGTCTTTTGTAAACTTTTATATATTATATAATATAAGAATATTATTAAGCATGTAATCAAATGAAGCATCAAATGTATCGCATTTGGAATATATTGGTAATTCTGGTAGTTCATAATAATCTTAAAAGTAACACACAGACACTATAAATGTTCAACTTTGATATGTTACCTCTGTCAGTGATTTACAGGGATTTTCAGGCAAGTATGTTGGGTGCAGGTAAAACAGATGCAAATGAGAAATTTCACATCCCTATATGGCTTATGGGAGACAGAAGGATTTGTAGTGCCAAGATGATTTATTTTAGTTAATGCATTTGCAGGTGGTATTTGAAGTGAAGAGAAAATGGAAACACTGGACTAAAAATGGCAGGTTAGCCGTATGATCCGACGTCATCATCTGTGGATCAATATTGGCTGTGCTTGGAGAACTAATCGGAGCAAGTCGCCACTGCTACTACGACTGTGACTGTCCTTGTGTAGCAGCCAGTGTGCAGTCAGTCAGTGCTTGCTGCTGTTGGTGAGGGAGGAGGTTGTGGCAGTGCCTGAACAGTCGCTGGGAGTACCTGGATAGCAGGCAACATCTACACTCAACATGTCCTCCTCTCATAAACACTGTTATGCCTCACTCACCAGCCCATCCATGACAGATGCCATAAACCTACACAACTACTCAGCACTGAAACTGTCAGTCCTTGGTAAGTGACTCTTGATCATGTAGAGGTATGTAAATTATTTGAAGTATTCTCATCATGGGAGGCACCAAGGTTGTCCTACTCACATGTAAGAGCCCAGGGTCTTGGTATAATGTGTCTGGGTACAGGAAACAGTCAAGTTATCATTGGTAAACAGGTTAGTCAAAGTGTCTCAGTGAAGAGGAAACATAGGATTTTCCTCATAATAACACAATCTGTGGAACTCTGTAGTTTGTTAAAGTTTGTGAAACTAAGGGCTCGGGGATTGTGAATAGTGTTACTTTTATAGTTCATAATTACTGGTAACTATTGATATGATATAAAATCCAAGACTGAGTGGCACTCTGAAGTGTGTCTAGGATATTCGACCTCCATCTCCGTGCTGTGTGGATGCCACTGACAGGCTTATTAATCAATTATTCACTGTGTAGCTTCTTCACTGTTGTGTGCCATTCCTTGTCATGGACACAGAGACATGTGGTGACAGCCATCGACACAGACACTACACAGTCCACAAGTGTATATGTAAGACATATGGAACAAGTACTGAAGCAATAGATTAGAATTGATCCTTGTCCAAATATTGGTGTGGATTCCTAGATACATAAAATTCAGTCATTATATCTCATGTCAGTATTTACCCCCCAAATCAATCACAAATATGTAGTTGTTGATATTTGTCTGAGTATGTTTTTGGTAGGAATTATTAGAAAGAATCATACAGAGATCACAAAGCCGAGATTTCTTCTAACACGGAATTTACTTTTCCAGGGTTCTGAAAATTACAGAATAATACAATGTAATTGAATGTATCCATTATTCACTGTCATGACAATACATTTAATTAAACATGCTGAAGTACTCTTTTATAATAAAATTGCAACACAGCAATAGCATGATACCTTACACTGTAATGCAATGACTGCTCCCTTGCTACGTGCAACTTTGAAAATGTTATGTTTACACAAACATATGAAAATAAAGCATTAAAACTGACCATGTGGGCAGTACGTTGTTTCTAAAACAATTAATAATCTCAATAACACTGGTTTTATGACATAAAACTTGCTATATATGAAGATTTTCCTGCGATAGCGCACACCTCTACAACGGAAATAGGATACACTATGGCACATGACTAAATATTTCAACTTTCCAATAAATGTAAGACTGACAACAGCTTATGAAATGCCCATAAATATTATCTCATATTCATTTTTTCTGTACCTGAAGAGTGGATCTCGGCCATGTAACACTTCCCAACAGTTGAATTTCCGCAATTCTCAAACTCTCTGACCATCGGGGTCACTCGCTCGCAGTAAAAACAAATACTCAAGGGAGCATCTATTGTATCAGAATGGTGCAAAACAGTCAGTGTAAAGCCTCTATTGCTATGCACCTACAGTCACAGAAATTAAACAAGTTAAAGTCAAATAATATTCCAGACAATTAGTACACATGGTGTTAAATGCCTCTGTATGTATTTTAGATGAAAAATCATTTTGCAAATATTATGATTACATTACAGAGAATGCTAACGCATCATCATCACGATCATAATGTTATTACTTATTCTCTAAAGCCTATAAATGCCAACTAATTCAAATCTACATCTACATCAATGATATATGCATAATGAGATTTACAGTATTTGTATAACTATACAAGGAGTTATCACATTGCAGTCTGGTATCATAACATTATGCAACGCGATGAATGAAATACAGCTCTCTCTATAGATGGATCTATTAGCTCGATCATACAGCAGATAATAAATCAGGTGCAACCTAGCTCTTAGTTAACATCATTTATTATTCCAAACAGTTTTGCTTGTTTGTCTATCCAGTTTATTTTGTAATATATCATGTGATATGTATATATCAATGTTCTACTTATTATGCTTTTAATGAATGTGTAACTTGTTCTTGTTGTTTTATGGCTGAAATATTGCAATGTGTGGTTAAATTTTGAGTCACTCACTGACAAATCTATCACTGAAAGTCAGAGAAGAATGAAATTATAATAAATTTTTTTAAATCATTTGTAACCAGCATTGCGCATAATGTTTCAGTGTATGTAAAACTGCAGGCAGGCCTCCCACAGTGGAGCCTGAGCAGCTCTATATTACGGATAAAGTCCTATCCTTGTTGCAGTATAAGCCTCAATTGCTACAAGCCTCAGGCCTCCCACAGTGGAGCCTGAGCAGCTCTATATTACGGATAAAGTCCTATCCTTGTTGCAGTATAAGCCTCAGTTGCTACAAGCCTCAGGCCTCCCACAGTGGAGCCTGAGCAGCTCTATATTACGGATAAAGTCCTATCCTTGTTGCAGTATAAGCCTCAGTTGCTACAAGCCTCAGGCCTCCCACAGTGGAGCCTGAGCAGCTCTATATTACGGATAAAGTCCTATCCTTGTTGCAGTATAAGCCTCAGTTGCTACAAGCCTCATGACAACATGGCAGTGTTGGTTAGTTCTTAAGCGTGTGAGTTTATGAAAGTGGGGAAGGGTTTTGTTAGAATCTGCAAGGAAGAACTAACAGCAAAACTGACAAGTTGAAAAATAAATCATGAAAAACTGACAAGAATTTGGCTATGGTGAAGATTGCCCTCAAAATGACATACATGGCAGGGGTAAGAGTAGAGTATCTCACAGTCCTAGAACCATTATATCTGGACCTCACTGAGATTAGATAGATCCCACTGAGGACTGACTGTTTGTTTGAGAACAGCATTGAGGTGTGACCTCACTGAGATTAGATAGATCCCACTGAGGACTGACTGTTTGTTTGAGATCAGCGTTGAGGTGTGACCTCACTGAGATTAGATAGATCCCACTGAGGACTGACTGTTTGTTTGAGATCAGCGTTGAGGTGTGACCTCACTGAGATTAGATAGATCCCACTGAGGACTGACTGTTTGTTTGAGATCAGCGTTGAGGTGTGACCTCACTGAGATTAGATAGATCCCACTGAGGACTGACTGTGTGTTTGAGATCAGCGTTGAGGTGTGACCTCACTGAGATTAGATAGATCCCACTGAGGACTGACTGTGTGTTTGAGATCAGCGTTGAGGTGTGACCTCACTGAGATTAGATAGATCCCACTGAGGACTGACTGTTTGTTTGAGATCAGCGTTGAGGTGTGACCTCACTGAGATTAGATAGATCCCACTGAGGACTGACTGTTTGTTTGAGATCAGCGTTGAGGTGTGACCTCACTGAGATTAGATAGATCCCACTGAGGGCTGACTGGGTGTTTGAGATCAGCGTTGAGGTGTGACCTCACTGAGATTAGATAGATCCCACTGAGGACTGACTGTTTGTTTGAGATCAGCGTTGAGGTGTGACCTCACTGAGATTAGATAGATCCCACTGAGGACTGACTGTTTGTTTGAGATCAGCGTTGAGGTGTGACCTCACTGAGATTAGATAGATCCCACTGAGGACTGACTGTTTGTTTGAGATCAGCATTGAGGTGTGACCTCACTGAGATTAGATAGATCCCACTGAGGACGGACTGTGTGTGTTTGCTCAGCATCTTACACACCTGTCTTACACACCTGTCACCTGGTTTGATGGTCAAAATTGGCCCAGGGTTCACCCGATTGCTGCGACCTCCTACAGCTCTGTACACAGAGAGATATTGTATCGGAGAAACAGATTACTTCAATTAGATTGTCAGTCTCCAATTCTTCACAAAGCTTTTTACTTAAGAAAATATGTTATCTTTGGTTTTGTCGTCCTCTAATTACAAAATATTTAAATGTGTTAAAGACTATGCTTCAATATTTCTTGCATTGATGGAAGTATAGCATAGAAAATGGTGTGCACACTGTAAATCTGTGTATCTTCACAGACTGCTTCTTAATCATCAGTGATATCAATGATATCATTCAATAATGCAACACAGCCTGAGAAATAAGTCTGCTGGTGGACGTGGCCATGTTTCTTTAGGTTTCTTGAAACATCAATGCAAAAATAGCAAAATTTGAATCATATGATTATTTTTTATTTTTAGATTTTGATGAAATTGTCAGTGGTATTGAAAACAAATTGCTTCATGACATTGCACGTCAAATATTGTGACATTATAGGGCTACTGAGGTCATCACTTTCAGATGTAGCATTCATTCATGTTGAAGTAAGTTATAATGTTCTGTTATCACATACTTTCAAGTCTTACAAGATCTCCTTTAATCATCCATATTTCCTTTAGGGTAGACAAACCTTCATTACTTGCTTGCTTTGTGCAGCTTTTATCAACTTATAAATTTTGAACTATGTATGGATAAATATAACAGTAAACTGATAACGGTTTGAGGACCTTTCAGTTCCTTCATTATATTCCTGGTACAGACGACTCCCATGTCATTGTAATGTATAACATCCCTTGTTGGAGATACATCAAGTTTTATTAGTTGTCCCCTAGGTGTCTCTGTATTCAATGTAGGGAGCCCCTCAGAAGCAGTTTGAGAGCAACTTACGTTGAATAATAATGGGTAAAATATCAACCGAAAGTATTTAGAAGTTTCGAGCAACTCCATTCCCTGCAAAACTCTTTATGTACATTGAATTTACACTTCTGTTGACATGTCTTGATTGGAAGGAAATAAAGTTGGATAAATACAATATTTGTCCTAAACACTTTAGGCATGTTAATATTGTAATGAAATACCAGGGTAAATCTGTGGCAAACTAACTTGGTACCCTCCAACTGCCCTGCCTTATCTATTGTAAGTTGTGCATTACATGCAAAGTATGCAAAGCTCATACAGATAGGAAGATCATTGCTTTGTCAAGTTGACCGAATTGTTAAATCTTGTAATCTTGTAAACTATTTTTACTTTACTTGCATGCATACCACATCTTCCCTGAAGCCATCTTTGATGTCATACTTAGTCCGTACTGGTTTTACGTGAAAGATTGAGTACACTGATCTCTTCATAGAATTTGTTCGTGGTCATGCTATCATGTCAGGTAGTTCACAAATGACCGGACAAACATGC